AACGTTACATTTCATCATCCGAATCGATAGTGCATGATTGTCATGTACATCTTATACGTATACAGCTAAAGTACAGATTTAAAGGTTGATTTCACGTATCACTTTGGTGTCCCTCACGAATCGTCTCTTTTGCACTCCGTCGTGACAAGCACTTTGAAATCTCTTCGGTCATTTGCGAATTTGATTGATGACATAGGAAATGCGCAGTCAATTCGGACTATCCGATCAGTTGGCTGATTGGGTGATGAAACAAGAAGTTTAGCAACAAGTTGATGAGATATTTCAGATTGGCTGCGCAGTTGCAACGTCTTAATCCTCACTGGAATGGAGATCGTGTCTTTCAAGAGGCGAGAAAGATCGTCGGCGGAGAGGTTCATGCCATCACATATAGGTAAACGGACATCCAGTTCTTTTACGAGGAATGACCATTTCACCAGAAAATGTGCCCATGGGCAAACAATTTCATCTTTTTACTCATCCATATGAATACTTTCCAACGTTCCAGGAGAATCTTTCGAATATTTTTTTTCAAACGATTAAAAATCTTCATTTAGAACGGAATCATTTACTCTAATGTGAACTACAGTATACTTAAGATCGTATTAAGATGGAAATATGCAAGTGAATATCGATGATTGTTAGAAGGTCGTATGAGATAATGCTGAAATTTGTTGCAGTCAACCTAGAATCAACCTAGAATTAATCTTCATTTCGTCTAAACTAATGCGATCTTAAGGGAATATTTGCCCAAAATTTTGGGCACTTCATTCGCCAGCACAGTGGGCGAATATCGTGGCTACAACCCCAGTGTAGATCCGACTATCGCCAATGAGTTCAATTCTGGAGCATTCCGATTCGGTCACGGAATGATTCAGGTCCGAATTCCATTGCTTGCCTCCATTCAAAACAATTTGCTAATTCTGAACCAGATGTATTCGTTTGAAAGTGTGATATGAATTTTGCAGTTCTCATTCGTTGTTGGTGAAAATATGTAAAAATCTAATGAAAACCTATGAGAAATATTGTCGGAAGCACTTTTCAAACATTTTCGTACATTAATCAACAATATTCGTGCTTAAAGGAGTTCTATCCAAGACTCGATCAACGTCTTATGAACAGCTCTTTCGGAGGTTTTAGCTTCGTCGATGGTACACTTCATTCGGATCATTTGATCTTCCAGGTTAGCTGTTCAACTGATCAGAGTTCCATTCAGAGTTTATATCAGTTCAAAATCACTATGCTATATCGGATTCTAGGAGAATAATTTAAATGAATGCAGATTCATTACTCAAGCTAGGTGGGACATCACCTTCTAGTGTGCGAGAATTATTCAAAAAAATTTTTTTCGATAAAGAAAATGGTGAGAAATTTTGTGACGATTATCTATCAGGATACACATGGATTCAAAGAATCTAAAGCTCGTCTCGACAAAAAAACTTTTATTTAGGGAGGTATAGATCCAATTCTCCGAGGTCTGATGGTGACACCATTGAAAAGACCCCAACGAATCACAACGTCAGTAACTGAGAATATGTTCGGAAGTACTGACCTGGCAACGATTAATATTCAACGAGGTCGAGATCATGGCTTGCCACCGTATGTCAGATTTAGACAGTTGTGTGGCTTGAGCGGTGCACGAACCATGGACGATGTGAGTTTCAACAACTCGTAGCATATCTCATCTCATGTCCTGGGATTCCACCGAATTTTAGCTGAATTTTAATCTATTTTAACAGATTAATCACACTGCTGAGAAGAGAGAATGTTTTGAAAACAACATTTCAGAGCAGTTTTCACTTCCTGAAATCCTTCTCAATTCTGACGGCCACATTCAATAT